ATGGTAAGATTGTGAACGAAAGTGTTTTCAATTTGAGGTCTGCGCCGGCCGGGAGTGTGCCAGTTTCGGCATGAAGTGAAGAATCGCAAGGGCAGCAAGATAATGATACCTGATTTTATAAGATTGTGTTATTGTCGTCTTGCGTCTTGTTTACGCTGTCTCTTAGCGCTAGTTGTATGACGTATTAGTCATTACTGTATTGGAGGAGCTGTGATTTACTACATTCGCTTACTATCGTACTTCGACAGTGCGATTGTTGGGTGTTTTGTTTACTCAATGAAACCTGCAAAGCGAGAGACCTTTTTATCCAGGAGATCTTCCGTCATAGGGCTGACACTCCCGCTTGTGCTCATAGTGTTAACATTTCAAATCTCAATTTTGATTTTCTCTTTATTAGCGACTTTTTTGATTCCGCCCTTAAATCTTCCCTCCGTGTTCCTTTCAGACGCTTCTCTCGCTTCATTATTCTCTTCCTTATCCATTTCGTGACACCTCTCACCTTCACCTTTTTTGACGCTCTGTAAGATGTACTACATCCGATGTAGGGCTTCAGATTGTTCAGGTCGAACCCACATTCGTCTGCCACTTGCACCCTTCAGAGTTAGTGCCGGCTTCCACCCTAATCAACCCGCCCGACGTCGTCGTGTTCGGGGATCGATATATTTTGTTTATTAGACTAGCTCTATAGCGAAGGTACTCTAGCCAAGGAAGCTACCCTCGCCCAGGGTCCCTCCCACTTTCGTTGGATGTTTCCATGCCAACTTATACGGCCTTGGGACCGGCTTGCAACAACCATAGGGGGCCCTTTAGGTCATTCACAAGGGGTGGATAATACTAATACTACTACTACACTTCATCATCAATTGTGTCCGGCCCCCGTTATTCTTATCGTCAAATGTTGGTCATGCTACTCCATCACGGTCATTATAATCAGGGTACAGGTATCAAATTTACGATAGCATTCATGATGATAAGTTTATCATGGTGATGATGGGCAGAGTAAAAGATAATATCGAAGATCACCTCCGCTGATCCAGCCACCACCGCTCCTGTCATCATCATGGAGGACAAACAAGAAGAAGACGAGGAAGGTATCGATCGCAATGGAAATGTCAATACTGTGATGATAACACTCGAGGTCGATATTCTCGCCCTCGATGCCCCCTCAGGTGATCCTTGGACTCCAAGTCTTGGAGGATTCATAGTATGAATTTCATATGTACACTTATCGCGAGGACGGCCTTTATCCACTGTTCCTCCATCATCCTCTGAAACCGGCCCGATATATCAACGCCAACAGCAAAAGCGAGAATACGAGAATCACGCTGAACGCTACTCCTCTGATTCTCACTTACGTGATTACGTAATACGTAATCACGGTGTTCTTTTCACTAATCCCCACCACCTTCACGATGCCGACTGATGATGATGCTGGTCCTCACTGTTATTATTCGATAAACTGCCGGGTTGACTTCTCCGGTGACAAGAAAGGGTTAGGTATGATTGTGCCGGTGGATGGTATACTCGAGATAATAATGAAGGATCCTTCCGGGGATAGTCATGAGGATGAGTCATTACATTAACGATGATATCAAAGTATTCAGGCACGAACTACTCACTACCGACCACTGTTATCGGAGATGCTCGTAAGATCGCCATTTCTGTGATTTACTTACGTGATGGTTACGAAGTAATCAAGTTTAGTTACAAGACCAGAGTCACCGGTGCGGAAACAACCACACAAAAAAATCGAGAGTGCGGTAACTTGTGTCGTCGGCGAGCGAAGTAGACCGTAACAGTACTGCATATTTACGATTGCGAGAAACATCTAGGAGGCTTTCGTAGCCTGTACTCCAGGCCAGTTGTGAGTAGCTCGTGGTATATGTATACCTTCCCTCCGCAGTTGCGGCGCGGGCTCGTTTATCTTCTCCATTTATTCAACCAATGGACGGTGCCCCTGATGGGAATGGCAATATTGACATTCGCGTCGAAGACAACAATGGCGGCCACGATCTCGTCGGCGACGACAACGGCAACCAACAAGAAGCTGCGCACGCAGCGCCTGTGCAGTTCTACCAACCGGACGAGGATGTGGTTGCCATGGTTAACTCTCTAGCCGCCTCCCCCGAGATCACCCCTGAAGTCATCCACTCGTTGGGGAGCAATGGCCTGACTTCCCGCAGCTGGTCGGCTCGTTGTCCTCGACTTCCATGACAAGGGTAACTAATGGTCTCTCTATCGCCGCGGCCGCCACACTTGAGTCCTTGGCTGAGGAAGTAGGCGCCATAATCCGCAAGAGGCGTAAACTTCATGCCGAATCCGACGCTATCACCCAAAGGTCGACGGTGCAAGTTGAGGCTATAATCAACCATTCGATCAAGAACTACCACTCTCCCCTTCCACCAAGCCTCTTCTACGGAATCTCTTCCTCGGTCATCACCGCCGTCAGCAATACGAAGAATGGCTGCTATGCACCGTTCAAGGATATCATGGAGAAGCCGGAGTTGCCTTGTGAGGGTCTGCCCGACTTCAAGCAGGAAAGACAGTCTTATGGTGGTCTCTCTACGAGCCCGGTGATGAAAGGTACGAATTCTAGTACGGAATGGTCCTCATGCTTGCTACGGTTCGCTCTACTCG